TCGCGCACTCGACACGCACGATCTCCGCAGAGGGTTGCGCGCACACCGGACCAATCGCACTCTCGCCTGCATTTCGCGCACTCGACACGCACGATCTCCGCAGAGGGTTGCGCGCACACCGGACCAATCGCACTCTCGCCTGCATTTCGCGCACTCGACACGCACGATCTCCGCAGAGGGTTGCGCGCACACCGGACCAATCGCACTCTCGCCTGCATTTCGCGCACTCGACACGCACGATCTCCGCAGAGGGTTGCACTTTCGGTTGACGCTGTTCGTCCCGCACTCCGCCTTTAAGAGAGAATTTATAAAGTGGGGAAATGTTTTTTCATTAGGACATCTCCCGTGCTAGTTTTCCATACTCATTTTCCATACTCACACTTGCATACTCACCCTTGCATATCATGCTTGCATACTTACCCTTGCATATCATGCTTGCATACTTACACTTGCATACTTTGACACTGGCATACTTCGCACTTGGATGCTTTCGCTCTTCCAGTGTGTGTGTGTGTAAGTGTAAGTGTCGAAGTGTAAGTGTTCAAAGGATTTTCCGGAAGAACCCTTCGCAATGCTTTCGGGAAAAACATATTAATTGAAAAAATAGTAATTGAGGAACACACACCTCCTCCATTTAATTACCACAACGCTGGGCGCATGTTTCGCGATGCCGACGGTTGATGAGTCGAAGAGAAGAAGTGAAGTGACCAAACCAGGTACCCAGTAGGAACTTACCAGTAAGTGAAACAAATGGTCTGGTGAACAAATCTTAAGGAAGTGAGCTTATACTGTTGTCTGGAGTGGGAACCTTCGAACATCTTTCGAAATCTGGCGACCCTGACGCGGCGAACGCATCCGGCCTGGAACAATCGCGGGAGAAACCACTGGAGTTCCCTGGCCGGAAACAGGGTCCCGTCTATCCCATTGGTCCGTTGGATCAAGTCACATCAAGTTCGGGGCGACCAAAAATGATGGGGAATTATTATATGAGATATTAGGAGGAGTTTGATGTGAGGAATATTGAGGAATGATTGGGAAACATGTTTTCTGTGAGTTGTGCCTTGGTCTGCCAGAGTTGTCTCACCACCAATGACCCACTACCTTACTAAAGGGCCATTCAATATCAAAACCACCAGAAGTGCAGGTGAACAAATGAGGTGCCCCTTTGAAAACCTGCTGCGTCTCCAATTTGGAGAGGTGACCCTGAAAGTCGTTGATCTTCACCAGCCACGCAGAACAACATAAACATGTTCAAAAGAACGCGACACTGCCGCCGGACGAATTGTAGCTAGGTAGTCCCCTGTACTGCCGCGTCCTGTACCCGTACTGCAGAAGGCACAGCACATCGTCAGTCAAAGGGTGGGGGCTTCAACTCATGGACTCTATAAGGCTTGTTTTTGTTTTAAAAACCAACTCACCAGGACCTTCCACGTGACCTCTTCAGGGACGAGTTGTGACCGACCCGCCACTGGGATCGACCCGTCGGACGGTCACGGCAGGTACTTCTCTTTTCGTGCTGGTCGGTGGGGCACTTCACCTACCGGTCGGTTGCTGGGTGCATCACGCCCGGTCCCATCCCTCCCACCTTGGGCGAGGCATAGGCCCGGCGCGGCATCCGAGCATCCGGGGAGGGCCCAGATGGTACAAACCTGGGCATGGAATAAGAAGCACATGGAGAATCATATGCTGGAGGCCATTGCTCTTAGGTTGGAGGCCATTGCTATTAGTACAAAAGGCGCACAAAATAGTACAAGCAAACTAACATGATACACACATGTCAATGTCGACATGGACGCGGGTTCCACAGAACTGGACAAACCTTAGACAAACATGTTTCATGCCATGCTTAGAAGTGAAAACGGAAGGTCATGTAAATGCTTGGAGGATCATGAGGATCGATGGCTTCATGTGGTTTCCCAGGGTTCTTTCCACATACTGCCCATGAGTTTCTGGCCATACCCACAAAAATCCCTCAATGGGTGTTCACAGTACCCCTCCGACGATGTGAGAACGATTAAAGCCGGAAACACAGGGTGCTGAATGGTGCTGATGGTAAGGTTGAGAAAGTAGCCTCCAGCCAGCAAACGTCACCCTATGACAATGGGGATTATGATGCTCACATATTACGAGTGCTACACTGAGTGCTGGTGGGGTGAGAACACCAGTTCCCCCCTTTTTTAAGAGTCCCAAGGTCCCAAGAACAGGACAAGCACGAAGCAAAGATAAGCAAAGCAAGCGGCCGGAAGAACGGATTCACACTGGTCTCGCCAAGTGGCTCTGGGGCGTGAGGATTAAACTCAGTGGCATGGGGGTTGAAGCTCCAGGCCTGCAACAGGTTGACCAATGACCCCCATAGACAGAATGGACTCCTATTCCTGGTGGTGATCGTGGCATAAAAGTCTTCCCTGCACAGCCCCAAGCCACGACCTTGCATATGGAAGATTGCCCTCTATTTCGGATAGCAAGTCACATTGTAATTCATAATAAATTCATATATATGTAATGTCATAAACTATAGATACACTTCTTGACTTTATTGTACAAATCATCTTCCAGCCCCTCGGAAATGACTGCCGTTAGAGATTGGTGGAGACTACATCTTAACTCAACTAACACATCAGGTCCTCCACCAGTCTAGTGGGTTTCCCCGGCAAATGAAAGCCACTCCAAGCTTTTGGTTGTCAAAACGCCATAACATCCACCATGTCCTCCCCCTTGCATCCAAATTTGTTCTTCAGAATAGCAGGTCAATTACACATCTAACGCCGGGCACTTACCTACCCGGCCCCAAATAGCAGGTCGACCCAGGTTGGACCCACGTGCCCGAAGCTCCAAAACAGTGGTACCATGCACTGCCCATGAAAACTGTGATGACTCTACATGCTTCATGACCCGTTCCACCTGCCCAGGCATCTCGGTGACATCTACGGCAACCCACTGGCCATAACCATCACCTCAGAGATTTCAATGCAAATCGAAGGCACATCCGTGAACATACTGACCCTCTAAATGACCCTTGACCCCATGATTCCTCATGGCTTGCCAATTTCGCAATACCGCCAAGGCAAACAAACAAACCCTGGAAAATAGATGAACATAGACTCATGACTCATGCCTTGACTTGTCCTTGACTCCAGGCATGGGCCAAATTAAAGCAAATTCAGGGTCCTGGAGACGACTTGGGCACCTTTCAAACGGCCTGTCACCCATGGGACATAAACATGTACGTAGAAACTCGAGTTTCGTCAAATCCATGTAACAGAATGAAGGTTCCAATCGGCATCGATTTAACACATTTTTGTCCAACCACCTGGAACAGCGAGATGCGACTCAAACACCTGGAACAACGGTAGGAAGGCGTGGCATCTGCCACTCCTCCCACCCCTGCCTGGCATCTGCCACTCGTTCTCATTCCAATCGGGTGGAGCATCGAAATACACCGGGCCCTCTGGGACTGGCCTTTCCCAATTGCTCACCTCAGCGAGGGCCGACACGCCTTGATCGACTGTCCCGGGAGGCTGCCGAAGCAAACAGGGCAAACAGTCCCAAGACAAGTGGCACTTGACTGAGTCGAAAGCCTATCGGAACTGGCTAGCATCCTTTCGCAATAGCTTGCTCGAAGCTTTCACAATCTTTCACAACTGGAGTTTGGCCTTTCGCGGCGGGTATGTCAGGACAACGACACCAACTCTTCATGGAGGTTTTTGACGTGGCTGTGCATCTTTGGGAGAGGCCTCGAAATGTCTCGAATAGATTTATTGTGGAAGGAGCGCCAATCATGGACTAGGGATGACCATATAGGGGGTCCTACTATGTCCTACTCATCTGATCTCATCTGTCTCTTGCGTTGAACATTCCAACGGCATGCAACGGCTGAACACCGTCGGATCTCTTCACATCTCCCTCGCGGTCGGTCGGAACCCGGAAATGGAGCGGTCCAGTCGTGGTGTCTACTGGGCACTCCAATCACCAAAGGTTGCTGCTTCCTGTGCCCTTCGATTGGGGGCTGAAATGCTGAACCGACGGACATGATCCAAACCTCTCTCCCCAATCTCACAGAAATCGCACGGTCGTCCAAGCACCGTCCATGCTGGCGAGAGTCTCGTCCATCTTCAGCCTCCCAGGTCAAGAATTCCTGATTGCTCTCCTCTTGGAGCAAGGTGCCATTCCCACAGCGCCACTGCTGCCAACGATCCAACGAGATGGTGAATCTCTTGTCCTGAGAGGGAAGAAAACGAGATCACGAACGGTTTTGGCAACTCCGAGGTGCCTAAAGCTCCACTCCAGAAAAGGTGACCGAAACTTCATTCAAAAATGCTGTTGGAAGTGTTGTTTCTGGTCTTTGTGTTCATGTATATGTTCACTCACTGTTTCACTCCCCAACACCGCAGTCGTGCGACTCTTTTCATCGACGTGTTCCTCTTTTGTTTCGAACCAAAGCAGACCGAATCCAACACGGGCCGCCTGGCTCGTGGCTTCGCAAATAGGATGTCACACCACCCGTCGACTCCACACGACGGGTCCCCACATCAGCGAGCGCATGTCTTGCCACGTAGACGGGTCCCCGAGCCCCATTGACCAAGTAGTACCCTCATAGACTCCACGCTTGATGCGCCAGTTCATTCAGACATGTTTAAAGGCTCAATATACTTAATTAAGCCCCAACTTGGTCAGCAGAAGTGATCTATATGCCCACGGTGGAACTGTATGGCATCACATGGCATCACAGATTGCACGGCGTACCAGTCTTTGTGCAATCTGTCGTGAACCCGAACGAAAACTGACCTTCTGGCTGGGCCTTTTCTACTAAATACGCTTCCACAACGAGGGAAGCTCCAAACACGTTTGGGGCAAGTCTCTGGAACTCCGGTCTTCTGCAAGTTGGCAGTGAATGCCAACCGTGGTTGACCTGCAAATTGAGCCGATCATGGCGAAGTTCCTGAAAGCCCTCAACTCCGAAATACAAGCACAAGTCTGGGCCATTTGTGCACCAGGCGCAAAGTCATCTTTTGTCAAATCTCTTTTCGTTGCAAGTCGACCTTTTCCAACGACCTCCATTGACCATTACATGTCGTGTTCCTATATGTTAGTGTTCAATGACAACCAGGAAGACCAAGCGGACAAAAGCTTTCAGTCTTGGTTGGAGCATGACTTTGTTGGTATTGAGGATCTCAACACTGTAGTCTCTTAAAGTCTTAAAAGCCATCAAAATCCAAAAAAATCAACGAACACCATCAATAGCAAGCCATCGAAAACCAAAAGCCACGTATATAAGCCGCCAAAAGTCAAAAGACAACAGCCACAAAAGACTTCAACAAAATCAGCCTTCAAAGGATCCATTCACCAGAAGCCAAAAGCGACAGAAACCACCAAAAAAGAAACGCCTGTAGAAGCTAAGCCGAAACCCAAGACGGCACCGCAAGCAACCAAAAGTACCACCAACTACATTATATATGCAACATATCTGATTGAAACACCCTCTGGGCCCTATGGCAAAAGAACCACCTAAGTCCAAGACCAACTTTGGAGTATTTGACTTCAAGACTCCAGGGGGCATTTCCTTGAAGAAGGGCCCCTTCTGGCTCAGTTCATTACGGAGTGGTGTGCAAACTCCATGTATCGATCCGCTGCACTTGGTCCGAGGGCCGGACGTCCGCGCGGATTCCGGCCGAAGCGTTGCGAGGCAGGTGTGACCACGATCTTGTGACCCAAGTTGTCCAACCATTCGCCCAAGAACATCCTGATGTTCTCCGCGACGGGGTCGCGACGGTCGGAGACATCGGCGACGGGTCGATCCTGCTTGACCCGACCATGTAACAATCTGAGTGCGCGGAATGGACAATACCACATGATATATTGTCAAGTAAGCCTGTTTTCTGCTAGGCATCTTTTCATGAAGCGGCGAACATGCCTCTGGCCCTTGGCAAATCCAGCAATATATAGTAATACATATATATATATTATATTTCTTACATGCGTGCTTCAAGGGCAGTTGGTGCGGGCCGGTCCAGGCGCCTGGGTGAAGTCCCATTGAGTACTCCGTCCGAGCAAAGTCTGCGTTGATAACTGCAAAGTCTAGGTCTTGACCATGGCTATTAGGTTGGAGGCCATCGCTATTAGGTCGGAGGGCATCGCTCTTAGGGGAGGGCCATCGCTATTAGGTTCGAGGCCATTGCCATTAACGGAGGATCTTTAGGATCTGCTCTGTATCCTGTAGACCATGTCTATGCGTACTGTATCTTACGTAACTGTCATGCGTACACAAAGGGCCTAACCCAACCCAACAGCGAACACTACACGACACATGAAAGCCATCCAAGCAGCTGTGGGTCAAAGCTTTCATCTGCTGACTCACCTGGTGCTGGGGGGGCAAGTGTCTCACCAAGGCTATACACTGAGGACCGCGCAAGCCTTGCTGAAGAACAGGCCAACGCTCATCTCCACGAGTTGCCGGGGAATTACCCCAAATGCTTCAAGGATGTTGATAGCTTCACTGACCAAAGAGCTCAGTGATTCTTCCTGCTTTGGTTTAAACATGTGATCTTGTGACTCAACTCAACGCCCAAAAGGTCCCGGGTTAAGTCGAAACGTTTGACTTCTCGGCTTCTTGGTCCATCGGCCCTTCCACCGTCCGTCCACCTGCCTTTGCGCTCTGGCGGATGCTGTGCTGGAGACTCTTCACTCTCCATCTGGAGCGGGGAGAACCCCATTCAGCGAACAGGGCCCTATTGGGTCTGTATATGTTTAATTGCTTTGATATGGCTCCACAGTGATGTTTTGACCCGTTTGGCCCCCCTTGCGGGACAGGTTTCTAGGGGCGTCGCGAAGCAAATTCCAATTTGTTTCATTGAGTGTTATGTGATTCTATTTCATACTTCTAGATAGTTCTAACTTGCAGGTGCAGAAACCAAGGGATGGTTACCCGCAGTGGGAGCTGCAACTATGTACCAAACTATGAAACTGCTGTGCATGTGCAATGCTGAACGAAAGGGTGTGCTTCATCATGGGATGTTTTTTGGTTTTGCTCAAATTCAGCCCCGTGAAGCTCCAGCCACCAGCCCCCATTCAGCCCCCTCATCTCTGCAACTCCGGCCCAAAGTTCACCGCAAGCTGCCCTGGGCCTCCCATCTTCCCTGTCCTGCCTGTTCAGCCCAACTCTGCCGAGGATGTGGGTTGGGGCCCCAGGAATCCAAGCTCCAAGGTCCACCTTCGTGGCGTTGCGCCACGGGACAAAGCGGCAGAAGCCCCAGAAGGCGCGGCGCAGAAAGCGTGACGTTTGAAGCACGGCGACCGCAAATGTAGTTGTGGACTTGTGGATACAGAATGAACCCTGAAACGGGACTGCTCTTGAAGTGTTTGTCAGACATGATGCCAGTCCCAATGCAATCTGCGGGACGCGCTATAATGGTAGCTATTGCAACCGCCCCGTCTACAAGTCCGGTCAATCCCCATCGTCAATCCCACATTCTGGACTGCGATTCCCGAAAAAGAAACCTTCCTTCTCCTCAATTTCCCTGATTCAGTCTCACCAGGAGTTCTGGAAAGCAGAGAAGTGTCCCTGACTTAGTCTCCTCAATTCTCCTAAAGTTTAGTCTCACCAGTAACTAGCAACTAGAACGACAAGAGAGTTGAGTGCTTGGTAGCCGCGCTACTTTCAGAACAGTATCGAGAGAGCTTGAAAGCTGACTACGGACTACTACACAGCTAAGACTTTAAGAGCCTTACGCCTGAAGTGTTCATGTTATATATGGCATACATGGCAAAAGAAGCATATGTCGTCATGTGTCATGTTACTTACTATTACTATCTATCTATCCGCTCCTCGGACCACTCAACTCCAAATGAATGGACCCCGCAGTTTCACTTGCAAACTGGAGTCTCCATCTTTCAAGTGGTTTGGTTGGAATAGATATTATATACTACAAATAAAAGCAATCAGCTAGCTTCTAGGACGTTAGGAACTAGCAGCTAAGCAGCCAACGCTGAATTCCGTTTTGGGTGTTTGTTTGTGTTTCGTTTGGCATGAACAGTTGATGGCCTACTTGCCTGTTCTCCACAGGCAGAACTCTACACATTGGCTGTGGTGTGGACGGATCGTTTGGTTTCACGGATCGGGAAGACGGAATTGCTTGCTGAATATAGATAATTATAGATAATATAGGCCTATGGCTGTAGAGGAGGTCGTAACACTAAACTTCTAAAAAAACACTGTGTGCAGGTCTTGACAGTTCCTTCCGACCGTGCCTCCTCCCTCAGGAGCGGTCTTCACGCCCAAGTCGGGCGAGCCATGATTGGACCGGCTTTTGCTCCCTTGGACGCCGGGGACTTCTCACAGAACGGATCCCCGAGATCGACGAGCACACGAACGGAACACGACACGAACGGGACGAGGACAGTGATCCAGTGATCCCAGTAATTTGAATCACGCGCGGTTTTTTATTCGCAGCGGTTTGAGGGTGTAACATGGTGTAAGCAACGATGCCAAGGATTTGAACTGCACAGCGTGCACCTACTGGTGTCGTTCGGCCTCCGCACACAAATCAGCAATCCACCAACAGCCAGCTGAGCGAAAACACCATCGCACGCACCAGCGATTCCACTTCAAAAGTTACCTCGTTGGACAAACCTACGTCCGTTCTTCTTCCGTTCGGCAATGAAGAGATTAAGGTCAACCTGGTCTGGTAAAGTCAAATCGTCCAACGATGCTTGTTCGTTCATGTTAGTTCGGGACTCAGGTGATTCATTAGATCAATCCCAGACCATCCATGTATGTATGAAATAGCTACATGAAGTACGGTCAACACTTAATATTCTTCTTCAACTAGAAAATGGACCTGGTCGGTTTTGAACTGGACCTCATCGTTTCACAGTGTTGTGAAATCGCCACATACTATCACATACTTAAGATCATTAGCAGCGCTGGGTTATCGCTTTTGAGGTGGACCTTATCGTTTAACGGGGTTTTGTGCACCAACCTCTTTACTACTAAAGTGGTGGTCGCATGTTTTGACCCGTAGCTCACATGCATTTACCAAATGAACATGACCCCGATGTAGGTAACGCCATACACATGGATGGGCCAGGAAGGGCCATGGGATTCTCCACAGGTCTCGTCAAGGCACCCACTTCCACCAAGTGGAATGAGCCACCGCCTGGAAGCCACACATCACAGTCACAGTCACATATTCCCATGAGTCCCCGAGTAGGTCAGAACATTGCAATCTAACTGAATCTAACCAATGATATATATATATATATTATAGTTAATATTTGGATTTTTGTATATATATATATATATTATAATATTTGTTGTATGCTATGATATGACTATCTCTGTTATCGGACCATCTACGACATCCGCGGACTGCGCATCCCCTATGACATCCCCGATTGACCTCCCCTATCGATCCAGCTATGCGCTTCACCAAAGCAGCGCCATGACACGCCACGGATCGACCACGGCTGCGGACAAGTCGACCTTCCACGTGCGATGCTGGGTGCGTTCTGCGCCTGAAGCAATGCTGTTGGCACGACTTCTGGGCTTGGGTCCCACAGGTGAGCCGCTGGTACCTGGAGAGACAGGGCCACCGAACGGTAGAGACAGGGCCAGCATCCTTTTACTCCGCTAAAGAGTTAAGAGCTACACATTGAAAAGCCATGAAAAACCAAGTGATCTAGAGACTCCGTTCCTGACAAACCATACGAGTGGATCTAAAGTGCAGTAATTACATAAAGCATATATTATATATCTTGTGATTCTGCTCACCTAGACCTAGCCTAGCCCAGAGCAAACTCCATCTGTCGTTTCAAGAAGTGCTCCCCCTGTCGTCTACTTCGCCTGATCCGCCTGATCCGCACCGCTGCGGAGAGGGACCTCCGCTGTGGGGCTGGGATGTGGCCAGTAGTCTTTTTTCTCAATGTCTTAATCCCTGAGACTTGTTGAACGTCAATTAGCAATAGATAAGTATATACATAGACAGACGTCCGTTTTTTCCACGGACATGGATGGCTTTTCAAAGGGGGTTGATCGGACAGGACAATGAGAAGGCTCCTGAATCTTGGGCCCCAGAAAAGCCCTGAAAAGCCACCTCCAGCTGGCGAATCCATCGGCGCAGGGGCGCAGGCTCAGAGTGGAAGACACGTCAAGCGTGTTTCAGGTTCCAAGTGGTTCCAAGTGTCAAGTTCTGTTGGCAACTTCGCTGGACTACAAGCCGCCCCCCCCCCAAAACCCTGAAACCCTGCTGCTTACTCCACCGTTCGTTTCAGACATGAAGTCGCTGTCCAGAACTGCCTAATGCAATCGGACGTCTGAGGATTGAGTGGTTAGAGAAGCCCAGTCAGGCGAGGTGATCGACTCTCTTCGTCTTTTCCTCGGATCTGCGACCCCTCGGGCTCGAGCCACCAGAGACCGCGATTGGGGTAGGGTTGGGGGTGGGATACCTCTGGGATCCTTCAGCCGAACTGACCGCAAGACGGTATCTACCGGTGAAACGATTCCCAAGAAAGCTTCTTCTTCCTAGTAGCTTCTTGTTACTAGTAGCGATGGCCTCCAACCTACTTGCGATGGCCTCCACCAAATAGCGCCCTTGCTACTAGTCAAACACGGATGACATAGATGACATGGATTCTTTTTGACGACTTTCCTCGATTCGACTCCAGGCTCCCACGTGCATGGAGGTAAGAGAGGTAAGAACCTTTCTTGATCACTTGGTTCTGCACCCTGCATGGACCGCGCAGTGTATTCATAGCCCTAGCCATCCACCACCTCTATGGGAGCAAGCTCACGGCAAGCTCCACAATTGAGGATCTTGTCAATAATTCGCACAAAAACATTAACAATAAACACATGGCCCAACAAAAACTGCATCACAAAGCTTAGCAGGATGAGGAAAAACACTAGTCCCGCGACTCTCCAGAGTGCCCCCCCTGCACAGCAATCAAAGAAAAAACTACATCCAACTGTATACATGCATGCCAGTGCATACAAAAGCCTAACTGCCCTGTCAAAGGGTATGACATGTGGGTTCTAATGTTGCCTGTTGATTGACACCCCCCATGTGGAGAAATCAAGCGTCAACACTAGCTGGTACAGGATTTCTTCCATGGACGGTATGTACGATGCCATGATACATGGCCAATTCTACGCCATTCCGACCCTGGTCATGGACCACACACATTCCAGCGACCAGCCAGTGCACGCGATGGAGTCCGGCTTGTCGGATGAGTATAGCCTCAAGTCACTCGGTTTTCCGACAAAGCCGATCCTGGCAAGACTGCACCTCCAGCTAATGATTGAAAGCCCTCCACCCCGGAAGTCACCGAAGGCCCCTGTGCCATTTGCTATACATATTGAATGCCCAAGACCAGTATCAACAAAATGGACATTCCATGTTGAGAAAATTTGTATTTTCCACATGTCCAGTATGTCCAGTAAGTTGCACACTGGGTGTCTCCAAACATCAAAAAGGATTGCCGAGTTGCAAGTGCAAGGCCTCTTGCCAACTTCTTCTCCGGCCATGGTGAGAAATGGCCTCGATAAATACCACGAAAAAGATCCTACAAGAACAACTTGGAGTTAAGGGAGAGTGGTCCGAATTGATGAATGCCCCGGTGTCAATCCCTCATACACATGTCATCATGTGTCATATGAATAAGATGAGGAAATACGAGGAGCACATAGCTACTAGTA